TGGCTACGACCCAGAACTGAAAAGAGGAACCGGGTATAATCCGCACGCCGATGGCAGACCGCGCCTCGGATATAGCGATGTGTATGATGCGTCGGAGCCCCGCCCCCTTTCACGTTGAGCTGCGGCCCCACTGCCGTACTTATCGCTGTCGGGCCTGTTCATGGCGGCCATTTGTATGCAATGCAGGCTGGTGGGAGGGGCCGACAGGGTGCTGTACATGGCTTCCTGAAAACATCACAGCGCCCTGTCTCAGTACTTCTCTCTAGAGCCCTGATGCAAGCAGTGGGCCGGCTCTTGGGAGGAGTTATGCAAATATCAAAATGCCTCGATGGGTGGGTGTCAGTCCGGAGGTGTGGGGTGTTCCGAGGCAGGCTCTAGTTGCATAGGTAACGCCCACATATGATGCTGAACCTTCATGATTGACAGAACTGAGATGCGATGAATGAAAGGGGCGGAGCCAGGGGAGGAACATGCTAGATGACGCTGGACGTCCTCCAGCCAGGAAATGAGGTGGAAATTGTATTATCTCCTTCCTGTCTGTACCCGAGTATAAAAGCATCGGGTCTGTCCGAGAGCAGAATCTGTCCCCGTTGGCCGTCACAGCCAATCAGATCCTAGATGGTAGAGTCTGGTTGCCGTGGGCGACGAGAACGGTTCTGTCTTCAGACACTGAACAGATCCCGGGAATGGATTGTTGCTGCGCTGACACGGCTGCCGTATTTTTGTGTTTCAGATATTAACGAGCTGAACTTGCCGAAGACGTGCGAAATCGAGTTCTCCGACCATGACGACCTTCTCAATTTCAAGCTAGTCATCTGTCCCGACGAGGTAGGTGTCTGCGGATCAGCATGACAGCCGCTGGGCGCTAATTGTGGCTCAGTGATGTCATCGCGGTACGATTTCAGCAACGCGACAACCCTGTCTTGTGAAAAGAGATTTCTCCTCTCTCGGTGACACCCACGTCGTTGCTGTGAGCTGGACTTTCCATCTCCCCTCCCCCTACCATGCATCCTCCGCAGGAGCTTTTACCTGACTGCATTCCCCACCTGTTTCTATAGGGATAGGAGGAGAATGCGGGCAGCACAGCAACCCATTGGGTGTCACCAGAGCTGGAATTTTCCCCAGAGGGGACACACATGGCAACTAAACCGTGACCTCAAATCCGACCCCTTCACTCCATTATAGAGAAGCTTTTTGGTTGGAGTTCTGCTTTAATCCCACAAATACCTGACATGGATGGGACGTGTAGACTTCCCCTTTAAAAATAACTTATTTATCAATCGGTTTACTGAAACATTGGAGGTGTTTTCATTGAGCCCCCCCCCCCCTCAGTGGAAAGCCAACGGCACAGGAAGGTTGGCCTCCGGTCTGGGTGAAACAGGAAGCTGCTTTTTAATATGGTTGTCACCGTCCCGACTTTGAAGAGATCCGGTCACCTTAGTGTCACGTTACAGCCCAACCCCCGCACCAAGTCGTATTCTCCTCCACAGCTCTCACCACTCTTCCTAAGCTGCTGCAAAATACCCGATGCCGGCTGTTGGGGAGCCATGACGTCACCCTCTCTGTCATGTGACAGTGTTCTGGCATAGCCATTGGCTGCTAAACCTGAGCGCTGAACTATGGGGGGGCTGTGTGTGTGTGTGTGGGGGGGGGGTTCTCTCCCCAA